GACGTTACGCGGCAAAATCAGTAAAAAATACTTAAAATCACTTAAAAAGCATGAAATAAAAAGAAAATTTATTTGTTTTACATATAAGATTGAAATATATTTCATTCGTGAACACCAGCTATTATATTTTCACTCGTGGCTACGCCACTCGTGAAAATATTGCATCTGGTGTTCACTCAGTGAAATTATATTTCAATCTTACATGCAAAACAAACAAATATCCTCTATACATTATTGTGCATGTTTTGTAAATCATTTAAATTTGCATGATTATACTTATCGTATGTTCATGAGAGAGTGGCTAGATATTGAATTAAAAAAATAATATTTTGCTTTTGGTAAGGAAAGTAATTCCCATACAAAAAACATTTACAAGATTTGTAATGTGACATGACAGTAGTGCACCATTGTTCTGTTTATGTCACTATTTTAGTCTCATATGATATAAGAGCATGAACATTTTTTCACCTATAATGCTACTCATTTTCTACAAATATCTTCAAGTGACGATGAATGAGTAGACATCTGATGACCAGATTTTCTTTTCAATGATTAATTGAATTATACCAGAATTGTTCTCAGACGAAAGACATTGCTCATCATGAACTATGGAAGGTTTGCTAGAGATAAGAATATTAAATGTATTTTCTTTGAAACATACAAAACAGTTGTCAAAATAAACAAAGTCTGTTTTTTTATTATTATAATTGTAACAAATGTACAAACAGTATATGAAAATAGTAACAAATGGGACTTTTATAGTAATATATCTTATATACCTTGGACTTAAGATACAACATATTTTAGTATATATCTAATGATTTAACGCAACATAAAAATACGGATCTATTCTAAGAAGGTCTCGCAATGTTTTCACACATGCCTACTCACTTTCAATAAAATATACAATATTATTTCATTGTGTAATCATTTAATCACAACAATTAACAAAGAGGAAATATATAGCTTTATACACTTTATAAAATATTATATGTTCAAAACGTTAAATATTTGGGGGAAAATAAGCCGCAAAGAATAAATCAGACAGTAAACGCTCTGAAAAATGATTTATATATTATAAGGATTAAAGTCGACCAATCAAAACTTACACCTTGTTCGAAAATTTCTTAAATTTTATCTATCTTTGACCATAACTTGTTTTACTAACCTTATCTAATTTTGAACAGATAAATAAACACACAAAATGCTAATTGACGCTTTGGAATTAGTAACATTACATTTCTTATAAGGATTTACTATATTAAATATTGTTTTACTTTCCACAACAAATACATTTTATTACATCGGACCTAAATCTACTTCCACTCAGACAATAAACAAAAAAGTTCAAGGCTGCATTCAAATCTGAAAGGAAAAGTAGAGCTTCAGATATCACCGGCAATATTTGCAAGTCAATGTCCAAGGCGACTTGTGCCACCAACATATAAGCAAATATACAAAACGGTGACATAGTGACTATAAATACACAGTTCACGGCCAACAATTTCAATGTAACAGGGTTGGTTTTACTGCTCGAACTTTTTTGCACAGAAGCCCGAAGTAAATGGATCACAATAACAATGGAGCCTGATGATATAATTGACAAAGGTATCAGGAAGGCCATACAAATGTCCCACCACTGCACAATCAGTCTCCCATTTGTAACTTTGTCCATCCAGTTTGGTCCTGTTTGCTTATTATATGTAATGTCAACTAGTACGGTAAACGCCAGAGTGTTAACTATGAGAATAAACAAACTGGTACAAATAATCATTAGCAAAGCTTTTTTTCTTGAGCAAATTGTTTTTACCTTATGAGGTATCAAGACACCAATCACCCTTTCAACAGTGACGCAGACGAGTATCTAAGATGATGAATGGAACACTGTATAGTCCAAAATTTTCTTTGCCAGTGTCAACGAATGAATGTTCAAATCGTAGATACTCCATTTTGTCGTCCAGTGTAACCAACGCTCAAGCGGCAAAAATAAGACCAGGATTATGTCTGAAACAGCAAGAGCCATAAAAAATACAGCTGTTGATGATTTCCGGTTGTGTGGCAATGACATCACTATCAAAATAAAAACATTTCCTATTATTGAGGTCAAAATCAAACAAATAAGTGACCAGTTAATAACGTTCCGAATTGAGTAGTATGGTTTAAGGTTAACATAAACTGAAGATTCGTTCGAAACATTTGAAAATGTATCTGCACTTGAAATGTTTGAAATATTAGCCATGATTTTTGTATTATTCTTTGTTTTCTTTTTATTATATTTCTTTCATTTTATAATTCTGGTCCAAAAACTTAAATATCTGAGATCTGTAACTGCACAATCTTTCTTAAGTTTATTCCCTTTTACATATTTGTATTAAGGTTTCCAACTGTGTATATCAACTTTTAAATTATGAGATTTATTTAGAAATAGACGGACCTTTTATATGAAGTAATTCAACCTATGTAACCATGGAATGTTAATCATGTCTATCACTAAACTTTGAGATACCAGTTCAAATGATCTCAAGAGACTTTACATGAATGTGATTCCTTTGATTTGAAATATTGTTAATGTATTTGTGAAATCATTTCTGCTGAAATAGGATAATAAGCGACGCTTTGGGACCTAAAACTCATAAAATTAAATAGAATGGCCAATAACATTAGATGTTGCATATACAATAAATTAGTTTATACACGACAATCGTTTTCATGCAATTTATATCAATTACTTTAGAGTCCTTTTTCTGGAACTAATAAGTATTGCTGTCATATGTGATAGAATAGCAATGTTATCTATAAAAATATCACTTAAACTGAGTAATATTTTTTTTTAGTCACGTGGGCTGGCTACATTGTAGAGGTGTTAAAATATAATTGTAATTCCCCCTTTGTTAGCCATTGAAATAGTATTTAATGTTTAAAGGACTTTCAAAAATGGTTATTAATCAGAGCGGGCGCTATGGTGCAGCGGTAACACTGTCTGGCTACAAATCAAGGGGTCGTGAGTTCGATCCCCCGCTACTCCACTGAACGACTAAAATGACTACGAAACTGACAAAACCAGGACATAACATGACGGCAACGATAGATACAAGAAACGACGAAAAAATTACCGAAACGGAGAAGAGAACTGACAACAAGCGAACAGAGACGAGGACCGATAACAGGAGAACAGAGAGTAGGACCGATAACAGAAGAAGTACCAACAAACGAACAAGGACGTTGACCGATAACAGAAGAACAGTGACAGGGACCGATAACAAAACAACTGACAACTATCGAACAAAATCAGGGACCGATCACAGAATAACAGAGACAACGACCGATAACAGAAGAACTGTCAACGAACGAACAGTGACGTCGACCGATAACAGAAGAACAGTGGCAGGGACCGATAACAGAACAACTGACAACAAGCAAACAGAGACAGTCACAGTTAACAGAATAACTGACAACAAGGAAACAGAGACAAGAATTAATAACAGTTAAAATAGCAGCTAGGACCGATAACAGCATAACATAGACGGGAACCGATGACAGAAGGATTAACATGAAAACGGAGACCAAGTCTGAATACAGAAAAATAGAGATGGGACCTGATGGCAGAAGAATGACGACGAGAACCGAAAATAGAAGGACGAAGACGACCACTTATAAAAGAAAAATGTAGAAGAGGACCGATAACAGAACATTTAACAACAAAAGAACTAAGACCAAGCCCGATTACAGAAGAACGAAGATCACGACCAAGAACTGACAACAAGAGAACTGCGACGAGAACCGATAACAGAAGGACAAAGACGACGACCGATAACAGAAAAACGAACACCAAAACTCAAGAGGAAGGTGCCTTTAATTTATATATATTTTGCATACACACGTACGAAATATAAGTAGGAATCTGAGTTTAAATGCCTTAAAAAATTTTAGTACTATCTTTATATTATTTCTATATTACTTTTATGTTGGCTTATAAAAATGTCTACCATCTTGGATTTTTCGGCTATATTGGATTGTTTTATTTTTAAATTCTGTTTTGGTGTCTAATTTGTTTTATCCTAAACATGCTTTGTGACAAATTTCCTTTCCTTAAAATTTTTATTTGATATATCATTAATTCATGATAAAGAAATTTTGCGGCCGTTTTAGTGGTCATTAAATAGCCATTTCAATGGTCATGATCAAGTTTTTCAATTTGGTATCCACCTTCATCGGATTCAGCATACCTTAAATAGGTAAAATACACCGAGATACCACTTGTACTACAAAATGCCTCTAGCATCTTATAGAGAGCCAAATTATCAAAATCAGTCCTGTCTATTAGAATTAGACCCTTCAGTGCTGTTATGACGCTCATGTTGCGTTGCAAGAGATGTTACTGAACCGTTACGATGTCCTTATGTGCTCATATCAGAACAAAACCTGGGCTGACTGTGTTTGCTCGGAGCATGCACGAAATCCGCACCGTCGGCCGGCATTCTATGCATTGCTTACTATCAATCGGCGCTCACATCGGCGTTTTGAATTTTTCTAGGGCTCTGTGAAAACGCCGCGCCTGAGTGGCAAGGTCCTTTCTTATTCATACACGGAGAGTACGAAATTAAAGGGAAACATTCAATGACAGTAACTGTACTATATTCATGATACCTTGTGCATTCTTATAATACTAAAGTAATTTGTACCATTTACAAAAAAAGCATGCGTGATTATTTTCAAAACATGTCAAAAAAGGGCGTTTGATTTATTAATCAAATTGCAATGTTTAACATTGTTAAACTACAACAATTTTTATGAAAAAACATGACCCTTGCAAACGCAATGGTGTCTTAATCAGATAGTAAAGTCGTTAATTGGCAATACTGTTTTATCTTTTGTTAAACAGTTTTTATCGTTACATAAAAATATAAAGACATCATTATTCAAAATGTGTTATAAATGTTCTGATAGAAATCTAGTGCTATATACTTATTGAGATCACCAAACTGACTTTATTTAACTTATTTAAACTCAAAGCATGTTGAATAAAGTCAGTTTGGACTTACTTTGTGCAACACTTGGAAGACAATACTACAAGTTTTTTTCTATTTCAATTTAAATCTTAAAACGGACTAACTGGTTGTTCTGCTTCCAAGGTATTTATTGGCACTGCGTTTAAAACGAAAATAAATCATTGTTTGTTGCATTTTGTAAGTCAGGCAATATATTCTAAATACAATGTATATTCGAATAATTCATGACTTGATTGACAATATCACCGGTATTATGTTAACAATTAATTTCGTTATGTCGTGTTACAGAGTAAGTTTTGAAATGGAATATTTTGCATTTTGTTTGGTTTTAGCTTACACAACTAAACGACAGTGCCGTAGTATACTTGTATCATAGTTTGGAGACCTTTCTATTGAAAATGCGCCTGAGTTTATCGTATACCCATATGTGTACAGCGCGCAGGTATTAGTTACCCGCACTTCAGGTACCGCATTGTCTGTTGGGGATAATAAATAGAGCCTGCTTGTTTTTCTACAGGTATACTTACGTATGATGACAGGGATTGGGATAGAAAAGTCATATTCAGATGCTCGTTCATTGGTTACTTTGCTTTTTGTTGGGTTTCATATTGTGACGACAGGAACGTGTTATTATTTTTTGCTTATGATACAAAAGAGAAAGAACATAAAACATTTGGCAATCTGATTTAAACTCGGGGCTTCGCACTCTCTTACAAATCAGATAGCCTCGTGTTCCGATGCTTTTTCTATTACTCAACTGCAATTTTTAGTTTGTTCTTATTTAAGTTACTTACGAGGCTGCTTTTACTAATTAATCAAAATGCTATTGGTTATGACAGGCTTTCAGTATGGGGTAAATCAAAGGACAGCCGCATTGTGACAATTTTGATGTTATTAAGAAATATTTGTCAGTGACGTTTATATAATTTTTAACCTATTTGTTCTTTCCTTTTTTACTGAAATGAGTGTAATAGACATAACAATACGTGGTTTGTAAGGCTAAATAATGGAACAGCGGAAAGCAGAAGATCAGCAAGGGTTATATGCACAAGCAAATGAAAAGCCCGAATTAACGACTGCAGATATAGAAGGTCAGTGTATTAAAAAGAATATATATTTTTTCATTTTTTTCACGGATTAGCAATTAAAAACCTCTAACTCTTTATCACTAGTGGTTAATAACGAGCATAAAATTTGAACATTTTCATTTGTTTAAGATTCAGAAATGTGAGAAATTTTCAAATCACGCGGGCATAATTACAAGGTTGAAATAGGTAGTTGCTGGTATTTATAATGTCATGGAATTATGTGAGTTGTGTTCACCAAGTGATCATTATTACAAGGGTTAAATACAAACTTATATTTTGGTATCTAAAAGGTTCTGCAGGTTATTATACATGTAGTAACTATCGAACCATGTGGGCTATTTAATATCTGAAATTGTTAATTATGATATTTAAAAATATTATCAGATAAATGCTACAGTATTTAAACGGTTATACACCAATGATTTTGATTCATTCGAGATACATGTGCCTTATATATATATATATATCTGACTTTACCCGTGTACGGACTTTTGATTCCTTTTAACAAGGTGCACGCTTACGTGTAATATACTGTCTTAGTACAGTGTTCAAGATTTAACACACTTTTTCTTCTTTCTTAATCAAAACAATCTATAACTTTGATAATTGATTTGCTTTAATCTTTGCAAACAAGGAACTTTAAGGTTTTATCTGTATATTTTTTCCCTTATCAATCACAATATTAACTAAACGAGTATGTCCATTTCATGGGTCTCCTTTAAATCTATACTTTCAATTTTATTTACTTCTATATTTGTTTTTACATATATGAAGTTTGTTGTTGTAGAAATGAAGACATGGTTTAAGTTTTTCGATAAGAACAATGATAAACAATTAGATAAGGAAGAATTAAAGATGGTATTCCATGCGTTGTGTTGGACAGTCAACGAGGAGGAGGTAGACAGATTATTCAAACTTGCGGACACTGATCGTAAGCCAGATAAAGTTTCGTCAACATTTCGTTTACCTCTTTTGACCTTTAAACTGCATTTTTGTAATGATTTGCCCTACAAACACTTCATTTGAAGTCTAAGGGATTTCGATACCGAAATTCAAATATAGAGTAAACAAAGACATAGAGCCTGGTCAGACTGCATGCCCTATATATTTCTATCATTCCCAATTCCTAACGGCTCGGGTGTATAAAATCTTGCCAGGTAATATATCCACATATATCACTCCAAAACCAAAATAACATATACTATGTCTGCCTAGGTATAGAGTTCAATTCAGGTTGAACATCACTAAATATTATTATTTCACGTTTCCGTATGATTCAAGTTTCAAGCAACTTCACAGACCGCTTCTCTAAAAATGACACGCATGTTGATGGGAAGGAGTGATATCGTCCATGGCCGAGTGGTTCAGGTTATTGACTTCAAACCACTTTTCCCTACACCGCTGTATGTTTGAATCCGGCAAGGGACTTTTGAATTCCTGAACGTCGGTGGTTCTACTCTAGATGACCCTCCATACCTAAAATAGTGCATAAAGGGGCATCCGAGGTCTTCTTTCCTACACCAGTAAAGCTAGAAAGTCGCCATATGACATTTACTGACGTAAAACCCAATCAGAAAGTAAAATAATAATAGTATTATTGTTGTTGTTTGTTGTTGTTGTTGTTGTTGTTATATGGTGTTTCTCCTCCAGAGAACGGATACATTGATTATGAGGAGTATATAGCGTTCTTAAAACTTTACAAAAAGGACCCAGAACTGGAGAAACTGGAGCTTCGAGAGGCATTCAGGTACGTTCATTAAGCCATCAAGAGTTTTACTAGAGACTGTATAGATAGATCCGTACTCCGGACCTTTTATTTGAATAAAAAAAACAATCGACACAAACAATGACACGTGTTCTTTTGCTAACAAGTAGATGTTGGTGAAAATCTTATTGCAGTCCACTAATCTGACAATTCGAACTAAACATACTAGGGTCATGTAGGGATCTATACATTGCATATAATTCATGCAACGTACTTCACTTCAGTTTGTAATATGTTTCTGGTCTTTCGGCATCATTGATTCCAGCACTTTTATTTAAGTGTTGAAAATTGAGTAGCGCTAAGGGGGCGTCAGGGATGTTGCACTTTTTCATTATCCCTCATGTACAGGCTCAATCAAACCAAGTCTGCAATTTTCATGCAATATTGTTGTAATTAATGCTCTCGAGGGATCACCCTTTCTCCAGATCGTTATATCAGCAAGTGAAGGTGGGTGTAACTATCAAGGTTTGAGATCACATCCCAGATTGTGTCCCTTTAAACAATCTTAAGATGGATTAAATTTGATAGAGCAGTGTACTGCGAATGAATGGATGTACTAAAAAATCCTTTAAACTTTAACCGTTCTGTAAACTAAAATCAGCTCATTTTGCAGGCATTTCGACAAAGACAGAAGCGGTTTCATTGACCACAAAGAACTAAGGCGATTTCTAATGTCAAAGGGTCACGCTTACAGCGACAGGGAAAGAAAAGAAGTTGACAGAATTTTAAAAATGGCCGACTCAAATGGCGACGGGAAAATAGACATTGAAGGTTTGATGTTACTATTGTGTGTCATAGCTTAAGAGCCGCAAAATATCACTTTTTATGTTATTTGCATTTTGGTGAAATACCATACCTATCACAGTTCTTTTGCATTAAGTGACAAGTTCCAGCATGCACGTGTGACGTGTGATACCAGCGAGAGGCTGAGGATTATTTTTCGTAAACTTGTAGAATAGTGTCCAATGTACATGTACATGTAATTACAAATGGTATTGTCAAACAATGTGATTTTAATTCAGTAACGTTGGCCGGGACGACTTGCAATAGAAAAGAAAATGAATGTATCAAGTCATTTAATTCTTTTCAATTTAATATTCTCGATCTTGGTCTGAAGTGATCGTATTGGTAATATTTGTTTCTGCAAAGCAGACTAAATGTTAAATTAGTACGCAAAAAAAAGCACTGACATGAAGAGAAATAAAAATTCTTATTTCAGCTAATCATATGTACGCCAGCCTTATCAGTCGCAGTTAATGTGATGGCATAATGGCATAGTCTTGAACAATATCTTAAACCTAAGGGATAGAAACCTTTAATATTTTTTACAAAAACTTTTGATTTTTTTTCCAGAATTTATTACGGTGATGCTGGAAAAGCCGGACGCATCATTGTATTCAGGAGCAAAATTTTAGAGACTTGTTGCTGATGAACCATACTGACATTTATAGTAAATAAACACGTCATTGCTTACACCAGAATAGTATCTGTCTTTTATCACGTGACTTTTATCACGTGACCAGTTATATTTTCAAATAATATACATAATTGTGATTGTGACAGAGGCAAAACTTTAAAGAGACTCTTACAAGTTTGATTTTAATGGCTTCTGAAGTCAGTAAAGTTCTTGCCCGCATTTAACTTTAAACACATTTTGCATGTGTGTATACTTCGTTAAAGTTTGTGTACACTAAGCTTCACAAAGCAGGGTTTTGCCTCCATTTTGTTTTAAAGGCGCATGCCAGGGTTACGCATAACTTACTTTAACTATTTCTATTATCGTATGCTAAGATCATACAAAGTTTAAATAAATTCTCTTATGTAAATTTCAGTCAGATGTAACTTGAGCATACGCCTGTAAACGTAGTACATATTGCGTTTCATTTGGGATGCGTGGACCTTTCGCTTCCGTTTGTTTTTCAACGCATACTTCTTTACAATACAATTATATTTATCCATATCTAAGTATACAAAAGATTTGTTCTTAAAGGCCCATTATGCCTCAGAAAATACAATTATTATTTCTCAAATACTTTTTATTTTTCGTATCTTGTAACAGTTTCAAAAAAAAAGAGTATTCTCACTCACTTGCCATATAGATGAACTATCTGGGCACCATTTGTTTTGTTATATAATCATAGTGAATCAGTATTTTATATGGTCAAATACTAGATTGTTTACATTTTGATACCTTAACGATCACTGCATGTTCAGTGCTTCATTCTCCAGGTGTTAAACATCTAAAATACCCTTAACGAATTATTAAAACATTATTAAACACATGTTTGACATTTCTAAATGATCTTATGACTATGGATTTCTGAGGCATAGTTTAACAAAAAAAAATGCCAGTCACCTTGCTGTAGGAACTTGTATTACAACATATCATAGTAAACACGTTACATCAAACAAAAATCAAAAGGTTTTTGTTTCATTTGATATGTTAGCTGAATATTCTATTTGATAGTTCATCAGAAATGCTTTAAGATCAATGTTTGATAGTGTTGTTGTTGTTATTGTTGTTGTTGCTTTGTTGTTGTTGTTGTTGTTGTTCTTACTGCTCGAACGTTTTCACTTTTCCGTGTACAAATTATAGTACAAATTAAAACACTGACATTTTAAATTATATCATTAATTTCAAACAAAATTCTACTATTTTGTTATACTGTATACGTATGAAATAAATTACATAATGCAATTTTGTATAATACGGCATCCAGAAATGGTAATAAAATCGCTCGATTTAGTATTTTTATATTTTTATCAACTATGAACAAATAAAACATAATGTACTTCAAGCGCATTGTAATTTTTTTTTTTTGGGGGGGGGGGTGGGGGGAGGGGGGGAATGGACAGTTTTTGGCCCGAAAACAAGTATATTTTCTCCTTATGTTTGAACGGTTAAGAAAAAGGGTACAATATAATAAGTTGTTTTCGAAATTTTAGAAATTTTATTTGAAACACAGAAAACGAAGATGAAATATGTTGGATTACTCGATAAGAATTTATAATATGTAATTAATTAAGGTAGTCTTACTGTAATGCTTTCCCGCTAAAAAATCTAATTCCAATAGCGTAATAAATCGGTCATTTCCGAAACGTTATTTTTCACAATTTTCGTTATTCAATAGTTTTAACCGTTTATAACCGGAATTAAGAACTTTGAGATAAAGGCTGAGTGATTGTAAATTATCTAATTACGTTCCGGAAATAACTGTAATGGTACGATATTGGCCGATGTTTTTGGCGGGAAAGCATTACAGTAAGATTGCCTTAAGTGATATGTTTGCGAGCGAAGCGGACATAAAACTTTGAAAAGAAAATGTCAATTTTAATCAAGTAATAAAAGGAAAATTATTTCTAGCACGCGTAAGAAGATGTCACAGAGTTAAAATGTTTTTACAGAGGGAAGTGAAAAAATAGTTTGATTGTTAAGTTGTCTGCCTCTCAACCAAAGGATCATGGGTTCGAGCCATACTTGGGTTAATACGATCATGGTTCTTCATATTACACCAATACTGGCTGGTCCCAGGAAGAGGACTCGAAAGTGATTAATATAAGTTGCAAGAACTTGTTCTCAATCGAGCTGAAATAAATATGTTTAAACTAAACTAAACTTAAAATGTTTATTTCAAATCTAAACGGAAATTGTTAATTTTCACGGCTCATTTGCCAGAGATCTTTTTAAAGTTTGGAGGTGTCGAAAATAACCCAGATTAGGCAAAGATGATTTAAAACTCAATCAATATCTTTAAAACAATAATACATATATTTTATTTAAAATATTGATCGAAGATAATGATACCCCAATTGCAACAAAATAGCATTGAATAAACTCCATTCATACAAAATGTTTGTTACAAATGTGTATTTATTTAATGTACATTAAAGGCCCATGTAGATATTTTTCTCTATTTGTAAAGAAACATTTTTCTTTGACCAATATTTTATCGTTACTTTGCTAATAATATTCAATGATTTAACTAATGTATTCTTTGTAATTTTTACAAGGCAGTGACAAGGACCTACCTTTAAAAATTTAGACTATAGAAAGTTGAATGTAAATCATTAAATATGGCCACTTCATAGCATTATGCGACCAAAGCTACAATATATTCATTAAAGCTCCCTTTTAAAAATGCATTTTTACAATACTTTTTTTTTAAATCACTTTTAATCTAATTTCCTATTTACACAGTAACCTTCCGTGATATAATACCTTGAAAAATGGTAAGCCAATAAGCTTCGCGCTCCCCCCCCACCCCCGCCTGCACCCACATCCACACACCCTACCCCCCCCCCCCCCAACGCGTAATCGATAGACCCAAATTGAGTAATAGAAGTCTAAGTCTTAGCCAGCAATATATCGGTTCATGTATAATATTGCATATCTTTGACAGTTAGCTAAGAGAATATCAACAACATAAATGTTAAAGCAGAATGGAGCTTTAAAGTAAAACGATTGATGACCTTTTTAGCAAGGCTTCAATGTCATAATGAAATAACATATTTATAACATCTTAATACAGGTGAATCTTTAAAATGTTTGATTTTAGGTTCTTAAAGTCGTTGATTTAAAAACTTGATTAACCTATTTCGAAAAATAAAAGTAAATTCGACTTAATTACATTAAATGTCTTTGGAAAACATCGATTCGAAAGGAAAATTTCATAAATAACAGATAATGTATGATTTGACAAACATGTGATAGAAAAATATTTCAAGATTAAAAAAAGATTTTAAAAGTTGAAAATGAGCGATGTGACATCGTCGTCGTCGGTTAGAGAAGAGAAAGCCATTAGAAGATTGGAAAGTGCCGTATCTACGGTAAGTGATTGTTCTCTAAAGTGCACTATCGCTGATTTGTATCATAGTTTGGGGACCTTTCTGTTGAAAAATGTGACAGAGTTAAATCGTATACATATACATGCACAGTGCGTTAACTGGAGTGCAGTTAGTTACCATTCCCATTGATTGGTTCATTTTGTCCGGGGTTTACATATTGTGACGACAGTGAAAGGGATAACGATGGAAATATCATATTCAGATGCTCGTTCATTGGTTACTTTTTGTGGGGTTTCATATTGTGGTATCAGGGAACGTGTTTTTATGTTTGACTATGATACAAAAGAGAAATAACATCAAAACAATCGGCAATCTGATTAATACTCGGGGGCTACACTCCCTCGTACAAATCAGATAGCCACCTGTTCCGATGCTCTTTCTATTACATAACACAGCTTGGGGTGCAAATATTCACTAATGCATACTACATGTAGCAATATAAAAATTAGAGTTCTAAATTTGCAAAGGGGGGAGTAACAAGTTAATGCGCCCACTTCTCAAAATTAAATGCTGAAAAAAAAATCTAAAAGATAAATCATTACAAAAAACTATCATGTCCAATCAATGACGATATGCACTTTAGTTTAAGCACATCTCACAATTTTTGAGTAGTATTTTGAGGTTTCCTTTGCTGCTTCAATTTTTCGGCGGCTGAACTGTGCTCTGGTAAATTCGATGATGCTTACTGCCGTGATCCGGAGTGAAAACTACCAATACCACCTACTTCAATTATATATGGAAAAAGAAGAAAAACTTAAACAATCGAAAGAAATCTCTTTTTTAACTTTTACCTTTTTACAAATGGTTAAATATAATTTCAAAACACCCGATTCAGCGGAAATTGTACGCTGTTTTTTTTCCTACATGAATTAATTTATTTGGTTTTCCTCGGGTACCCTGGTATGCGTGAAGGTTTTCTTTATCAGCACAGCTAGAATTTTTTGCAGATTGAAGTTTGATTGTGTCGGAATTGTTTATAATACACTCGAAATAAAAATGATTTATCCTCATTTGGTCGGATAAAAGATTTATTGTTTAAAAACTTCCTCCTTTTTTATTGACAGCAAAGGAATTTTTCCTTTCCTGTGGTTTTGAAATACACATATACGCGATATATTGTAAACAAAGTTGTAAACAAAGTTGTACTTTGTAGGAATCAAACATATCAAACTGAAATGAATGACATCTATGTAACAAAATGCATGTCCCCCCCCCCCAAAAAAAAGGGGGGGGACTGTAGGTTTGTTGAGGCACGACCTGGTCTTGAGGCTAATGTAGTCGTGACTTCGTGTAAAATCAGCGCTGGTAAGTCAAAAATAAGGGCATCCAATTTACTTAAAATATTTCAATTACCCTTGAGTAGTTGAAATTCTTTACAAGACATGTTCAGCTTCCATTTTTAATGTATTCCTTTGAGTTTATTTTTGTTTATTTATCTTTTTTTTTTGACATGACGTGACTGGCAATAATTTTACATTAAGCTACAGTCTCACTTACATCCCGGCAGAGCCCCGGTAGACGTCCGGGGTGATCCGGGAACGACCGGGGTACGACCGGGAACAACCGGGTGGAATAAAATATTTAATATCACCGGGGTTGTCCGGGATGATCCGGGAAGGTATAGCTTTGCCGGCATCATCCTTAGCTCTGCCGGGGACCGACCGGGGTGATACCGGGAAAGCACCGTAGCTCTGCCGGCATAAACCGGGGATGATCCGGGGTATGATATAGCCGGTAGAGCTACGGTAGAGCTACGGTAGAGCCCCAATTTATGCTGGCAGAGCCCCGGTAACTACAGGCAGAGCCCCGGAGGATAAAGGTAGAGCTACGGTTGATCCCGGTAGAGCCCCGGTAGAGCCCCGGCAAAGCCCGGATCATTTCAAAAAAATAAGGACAATTTGTGATGATTGAACTTGTTTGTATTAAAAGCCTTCCAATTTCCTTTCTATCCAGTATGGCATAAGGATTTTTCAGAAAATCATCATGAATTACTATTCTGGAACAATAGATATTATATTAAATAAAAATTATGTATCAAAGTTATCATTTTCGGGCGTTTTCAATTCACCGGGGTTCTACCGGGGCTCTGCCTGGATCGTCCTGGGCTCTGCCGGGGCTCTGTCTGGATCGACCGGGGCTCTGTCTGGGTCAACCGGGGCTCTTCCGGCGTCATCCGGGAACGACCGGGGAAGCACCGGCATGAACCGTAGCTTCACCTGGGCTCTGCCTGGATGATCCAGAGCGCATCCTGGGTGGTTAGTAGGGAACTACCGTAGTGCTGCCGGGGTAAGTGTGACCGCAACAATAATTTCATCCTGGATCGTCCCGGATCATCCCGGTAACTTACCGGGATGGTCCTGGGCTCTGCCGGGAGTAAGTGAGACCGAGGCTTTATATAGACCTACAGTTTTTGCAGAATTTATTTTCGTTCGATTGTGTAGGAAGCTATTGGCTTACAAAGACAATATCAAATCCGTTCCTGGAATCAACCAGAACTAAGCAATGGGAAACAACAGCTTGTCCTTAACGGGGTTTGAATCTTTAGATTACTCGGCCATGCCGCCAATTAAATAAGGGTTTTATATCAGATGTATGTACAGAGCTGGGCCAGTCTACAAATATATTTAGTCTTAGCAAACCCTGTACAGTATTCTAGTCAATGATGGTGTCTGTATCCTGAAATACCTTAAAGTAACAATGGTTTGTTCCAATTTCAAAACGAGGAAAATCCATAATACAAAAATGGCAGAAGATATGTTACAATAAATATCCCCACTACAGATTTGCTATGTTTAAAACGTTTAAAACAAATTTATATATATGCAGAATTTAAAATAGCCGTTAACAAATTGTAGTTGAAAACATTTGAAATTTTAATTCTTATCATAAATGAACTGACAATGTCTTATTTAGTTCTGACCATACTGCCATCACTTTTTTAATCAAAATATTACCGAATTTGTTAGGCACAGTACAGTCTAAAATTTTGCTGCTCTCCGGATCGTTCTTGGTCTCAAAGTCACGATAATGATGCAAAAGCGCTACATCAACTGGCAACGGAAAATTGTTTAATCTTGGAATAGTATGAATCATAACAGTGTGTACACGAGAAGTTCGTGCAAAATATTTTGACCTTGATCCAGGTGAAAATATCTTTTGCTCGTGTTGTAATTTCTGCATTGTAATAAGTTGGTATTTTTTTACTAAAGTGCTGTTAGAAATTTCAACATTTGCATTGTCCCATTCTACTTTGAAAAACGTATTCTGGACAATGTATACTGCTTCATTTTGGTTCACATTACTTAACATTTCCAACCACGTGGTGTCATTTCGAGAACGTGGAATGATAAATTCATCAAAATCAATGTTAATAACAAATTCTGATACATATTTATTTCTATACAAGCAGTCATTCAAAGCTGCGACCTGTCCGAAGTAATGTATACTTATTGGTTTTCGTACTTCCGTTTCCGTTTCGCTTTCCGGAAGGTTCCATTGAATAACAGTTAAAAACCCTTTATTTGAATAATACTCTAGAACTTTATGAACATTTATATCATTGGTGTAGTTATAAACAACGAACCTATCGGCTCCAAGAATTATGTTAAATTCGATCCATTCTATAAATCTATAAATATTAGGATGTCCATAAATCGGTGGTAAACACACGGTGAAATTTCGGCTGACTGCTTCCGGTTTAGTCACGTGCTGAATAAACAGAATGTTTCTAGGCGCGGTACAATTTTTATCCACCATCGAAACATACGAGGGAGTAGAGTTTGATCGGGGGTTCAATAAACATTCAAATAATATCGCTGAATACCTGCAAAAAAAGACAAATTATTAAGTTTTAATTCAAATCAATTTAGTTGGTTATAAGCACTTGTCGCATACCTGGCCCTTAGAGAACACCATACATAATCCAAAAGTGTTTTCAATGTAACAGCCGCTGATAACTCTAATTGATGTGTTTTTGACGTAGAAAGTACCCAGTCATGTGATGTGATAATAACAAAGACTTTATTTAACGAGAAACTCATTTGAACAACATATCGATCTTCAATGAGACCCTCACAAGGAACAGTATAAATTTAACATATTCAAACTATTCAAATACATAAATGTTAAGATACATGAGATTATCAATTTGTATACATCGATGTGTGAATATATCTCAAGTATAAGGTTTTAAAATGGTTCACAGATGTAGCAGACTTGACATAACCATGAAGGCCGTTCCCCGAATACAAGATCCAGAATAAACATAGACTTACGAAATTGTTCAGCATTTGGTCTAAGTTGAATATCAGATGATGAACGTGAAATGCGAGAATGAACATTTGACGATAAAATGAAATAATTCAATAAATAGGAAAACGCCTGATTATACATTATTTTAAACATAATAGCGTTTTGAAAAACAACCCTCTGTGAATAGGTCATCCAGTGGAGTTCAGAAAATGGTAAGCAGATGGAGTGTCATAATCTTTGTCTAGAATTAGTCTTGCAGCTTTCTTTTAGAACTAAATGAGTTTATCTTTTCGAAAAGACGTACAGTTATCGTACATTATGCAACAATAGTCAAGATGTGGTAAAATATATGCATTGTAAAACATTTTACATACAGGTATAGATATGAATAATTTTAATACATAAAATATAGCTCACTTATTTGTTGAACCAGTTAAAATCAATAGATATTACAAGAAAAGCATTGATGCAAAGCATCAAAGGGCGTCCAAGCAAGAAATGCAGCAAGTGAAGATGAACTAGTACACATATGATGACAAGATATTCTTATAAACTACCAGAAATGTATATCACTTATGAATGAGCGGACGAAAGACATTGTTCATTATGAACTTTGATTGGCATGCTAGAGATTAGAATATTACTTGTGATTTCTTTATGATCGTGGTTATTAATAGCAACGGATATACATGTATGCAATCATTTATAATCCATATGTGTAACGCATGATCAACACGTACCACACCTTTGTAATTGTCCCTTATTATGTTATCGCTATTAGCGGAGACCCCCTCTTAAGGTATTTGTTCACACTTTAAGTTAGTAAAAATATGACACTGGTTATATTACCATGTTGATCATGTTGAGCATAATTGTTTATTATACAATAATTGTAATATCTATTAATTTTGATTAAAAAAAATACAATTTCATGAATATTGTTTTCTTTTCGTTTTTGTGTTCTATGTGCTATACTGAGTTTTTACTAGACTTTTTTTCATTAAAATTGTAAAATAAATTTTAAGAATTCAATTGTCATATTGACCGACGATTATAAGTCAAAGCTTAACTGGAAAAAGTCAGTAAATTATGGTTTCCGTGTACATATTTATTGTTTTTATCTCATATAGATAAAATGAAACATGCTATTGTTGTTGTTTTTTCTAATTGTAACGATATCAAACATCTACTCCAAAACCGGGAGAGACCGGACAATAAACGTGTGGTACTATTCGCCGGTCACTAGTAAATCCCGGTCAAAATAGACCGGAAGAGACCGGTAATTACCGATAGGAGTGATAAATAGATATATCTATAAATAGATTTTTGGAATATTTAGGTCATCAACTGATCATTCTAGGATACATGTACAACAGTACTACAAAATGATAAATAAAAAACCCCGAAGAGAGCGATTTATTGACGGAAAAGGCTATTTAATTTGAAAATGTTTGCATTGCGAAATTCTCCAGTTCGCTATTCATTGTAACATATCGCGACATTTCATTCTTAATTAATAATCAAGCACCCTCATACCGATCGGAATGATCGGATTTTATTATGGCCGACTAAAAAATCGAGAAGTTGCTGTCGCCCTTTCACAAAATCTGATTTCATTCCATAAGGGCGCCGCGCTTCGGCGCGGACGCCAATAAAGTCATGTGGGTCAGGTGGTCTCAGTGCAAGGTTTCTAAAGTTATCGGCCCACATTATTGCTCCCATACTTAGCACATATTTAATTCTAAACAAAATATTTCCTAAATCGTTCAAAAATGCCAAAGTCATTTATATACATAAAAATGGCTCTCAAAGTGATAAAAGAAATTATAGGTCAATTTCCATAATTTCCTTCATATCACTTATTCTTGAACGTCATGTCAGTTCACATTTTTAAAGCAATACCTTGAAGAAAATAAACCTCTATACCTCTATACCAATGTCAGTCCGGATTCAGGTCAAATCATTCATGTCAAACTGCACTGATTAGAATTATTGATGATTGGATTACAGCTATTGACAAAAATGAGATAGTTGGTTCAATTTTCCTTGATCTCTCTAAAGCTTTTGACTTTGCGGATCACCCTATTATTACTGAAAAGCCTAGACCATCAGTTGCTTGGTTTTCCTCCTATTTAGATTACAGAACCCACCAAACTTACATATCTGGTTTATATTTTAAGTCAAGTTCAGTAACTACTAGAGTTCCTCAGGGCTCAGTGCTAGGCCCTTTACTGTTTTTAATCTACATCAAAGCTATATCTAAATCTAAATCTAAAGCCTTCGTCTATGAAAAAAAAACAGAAACTGATATCTTTGCAAATGACACCACTCTTTTGACTTCTGATGTATCTATAACAGAGTAGTTGAATCTCTTACTCAAGATCTTTTAAATGCCAACAAATGGTGTGATTTGAATCGCATGTATATCAATGTTAACAAAACTAAGGTCATGTCTATTTCCTCAAAACATGCAAAATTATATTAATGAAAGTAAACCTTGTATTTCGTATACAACAAGCAAATTGTTTGTAGCTCTGGAGAAAAATTATTGGGTATTACAATTAATAGCACATTGTCTTTTCAAAGCCATATTGATAATGTCCTTAATTCTCATTGTTACATTTATCAATCGTATAAAAAATATTCATATCTATACCTGTACGTAAAATATTTTACAATATATTTTACCACATCTTGACTATTGTTGCATAATTTACGGTAACTGTACGTCTTTTCTAGAAGATATACTCATTAAGTTACAAAAAAGAGCTGCAAGACTAATTCTAGACAAAGAGTATGACACTCCATCTGCTAAACTATTTTCTGAACACCGCTGGGTGACCTTTTTACAGAAGATTGTTTTTCAAAAAGCTTTTATGGTTTTTAAGATAATGAATAATTCTTTTTATTGAATTATTTCATTTTATCGTCAGATGTTCATACTCGCATTTTGCGTTCAACATTTGATTTTGAACTTTACACTCCTAGACCAAACACTGAACAATTTCTTAAGTCTTTTGTTTAATTTGGAACAGCCTTCCTGATTATATCAAGACTGCTACATCTGTGAACCATTTTAAAACCTTACACATTGTACTTGAAATATTATCACACATCGATGTATGTAAATTGATATCATGTATGTATTAACATTTATGTATTTTAATAGTTTGAAGATGTTAAATTTATATTGTTCCTTGTTGAGGGCCTCGTGGAAGATTGTTTTAATGTTCAAATGTGTTCTCTCGTTAAATAAAGTCTTTATTATTATTATTATTATTATTATTATTTTCATCATCATCATCATCATCATCATCATCATCATCATCATCATCATCATCATTATTATAATAATTATTATTATTATTATTATCATTATTATTATTATTATTATTATTATTATTATTACTCAACCGAGTTTGTTGCATTAATAAGTGTGTACCTTTCCCCTGGGCCCCCAAGTATGAAAATAAAACTGTACTCGAATGTTCTCAAAAACCATTCAAGGGTTTTCAAAATTTTGATTTACCGTGGATACCTGATATAATTACGGATTCTCTGCGCCTTTTCTGATTAAAATCGATTGAGTAACAGCAAAGTTGTCAATAAAAAACGTACCTTAATCGATGAAAAAACGGCGTGTACCGTTGTGATATGGCCAAAGTGTTACTTGGCAATTGACCATTCGGCTTTACTCTTGCGAATATTTACTTTACACAGTCCATTTATAACAGGTTACTCGAATCATTATACTAGAACAGACTGTTGTTACTTTGTCAATTTCACATCCGAATTAATGCCTCAAAATGACTAGAAAGGACATTTGAATAATTCATACTTACTCTTGACCGTGACCTTCCGGAAGCCTGTTTTCTTTGGCAACTGTTTCATACGACAACTTATATTGGTCCCTTTCTCTTTTGCTTTTTAACCAAAACTGGCAAAAATATGACCCAGCTTGTAAATTTTTCATTCCAATAATAACAATTTTCCTGCTTTCATGAATGAAATATGCGGAAAAAATAAATGCCGTCGAATCATTATCAACTGCTTGCCAATTGCCTGTTTTCTCATCCACCGTTGGCATGGTCATCTCAGCGCATGGATCAGGCTTTGCAGTGTTTTCCTTTGCAACAACACCCGTGACATCACTTTCTTTAACCTTTTCACTATAACTACCAGTAAGCATTCTTTTATTCACCACATTACGCTTCTCTACAATCTTTATGTTGAAAAAGAGGAACATCAAGGCTGATATCCCAGTAACAACTGTCAGTAAAACGCTTGTCTTTTTCCATAGTTTTTGCATTATGTTTCTCGAGGCACTTTAATATTTACTTGTTTGTGCGGAAAATTCATGCAATTGGTTCTCGAAACTTTAAGTACTTGTTTGAGCCTATTAACTTGTCAGTTTATGCCTCGCAATCTCAGCTGAACTATTTCCTCTTCTTTTACTTTTTTTATAATTTTATCCGTTTTCCTTATTGCTTTTACACTTTTTTTGTTATTCATGAAAACTGATAAATTTCCTCATCTTTTACCACTTCAAACGCAATTTATTATATCACTTTAAAATAATTTATTGACAAACCTAAGTTATTTCTATCCTCACGAATCTATCGCACGTCCCAAAATGTACTTATTATTATCTTTGACCTCGCAAAAATTCCCATGTTATGCTGACTGCGTAATTGTTTGTTATCATCGTGCACTTGACGATTTGCATTTCATGTTGTGCGACTTTTGTCTTTCCTGGTGCATGATAAATAATGTTTTATTTATACAGTAAAACACTTCTCCTTATCAGGTATGCTTGATGCCGTGTATAATTCTCCCATACAGGTGTGATTCAGATCAGTTCTTCAGATCGGTTGATGATGCCGTGTATGATTTTCTTCAGATTTGTTGATAATGCCGTGTATGATTTTCTTCAGATCAGTTGATGATGCCGTGTATGATTTTCTTCAGATTTGTTGATAATGCCGTGTATGATTTTCTTCAGATCAGTTGATGATGCCGTGTATGATTTTCTTCAGATCAGTTGATGATGCCGTGTATGATTTTCTTCAGATCAGTTGATGATGCCGTGTATGATTTTCTTCAGATCACTTGATGATGCCGTGTATAATTTTTCTCAGATTTGTTGATGATGCCGAGTATGATTTCCTTCAGATTTGTTGATGATGCCGTGTATGAATTTCTTCAGATCAGTTGATGATGCCGTGTATGATTTTCTTCAGATCAGTTGATGATGCCGTGTATGATTTTCTTCAGATCAGTTGATGATGCCGTGTATGATTTTCTTCAGATCAGTTGATGATGCCGTGTATAATTTTCTTCAGATCAGTTGATGATGCCGTGTATGATTTTCTTCAGATCAGTTGATGATGCCATGTATAATTTTCTTCAAATCGGTTGATGATGCCGTGTATAATTTTCTTCAGATCGGTTGATGATGCCGTGTATGATTTTCCTTCAGATTTGTTGATGATGCCGTGTATGATTTTCTTCAGATCAGTTGATGATGCCGTGTATGATTTTTTTCAGATCAGTTGATGATGCCGTGTATGATTTTCTTCAGATCAGTTGATGATGCCGTGTATGATTTCTTCAGATCAGTTGATGATGCCGTGTATGATTTTCTTCAGATCAGTTGATGATGCCGTGTATGATTTTCTTCAGATCAGTTGATGATGCCGTGTATGATTTTCTTCAGATCAGTGATGATGCCGTGTATGATTTTCTTCAGATCAGTTGATGATGCCGTGTATGATTTTCTTCAGATTTGTTGATGATGCCGTGTATAATTTTCTTCAGATCAGTTGATGATGCCGTGAATGATTTCTTTCAGATTTGTTGATAATGCCATGTATGATTTTCTTCAGATCAGTTGATGATGCCGTGTATGATTTCTTCAGATCCGTTGATGATGCCGTGTATAATTTTCTTCAGATCAGTTGATGATGCCGTGTATGATTTTCTTCAGATCAGTTGATGATGCCGTGTATGATTTTCTTCAGATCAGTTGATGATGCCGTGTATGATTTTCTTCAGATCAGTTGATGATGCCGTGTATGATTTTCTTCAGATTTGTTATGATGCCGTGTATAATTTCTTCAGATCAGTTGATGATGCCGTGATTTTCTTCAGATTTGTTGATAATGCCGTGTATGATTTCTTCAGATCAGTTGATGATGCCGTGTATGATTTCTTCAGATCAGTTGATGATGCCGTGTATGATTTTCTTCAGATCAGTTGATGATGCCGTGTATGATTTTCTTCAGATCAGTTGATGATGCCGTGTATAATTTTCTTCAGATCAGTTGATGATGCCGTGTATGATTTCTTCAGATCAGTTGATGATGCCGTGTATATTTTCTTCAGATCTTGATGATGCCGTGTTTAATTTTTCTCAGATTTGTTGATGATGCCGAGTATGATTTCCTTCAGATTTGTTGATGATGCCGTGTATGATTTTTATTCAGATCAGTTGATGATGCCGTGTATGATTTTCTTCAGATCAGTTGATGATGCCGTGTATGATTTTCTTCAGATCAGTTGATGATGCCGTGTATGATTTTCTTCAGATCAGTTGATGATGCCGTGTATAATTTTCTTCAGATCAGTTGATGATGCCGTGTATAATTTTTCTCAGATTTGTTGATGATGCCGTGTATGATTTCCTTCAGATTTGTTGATGATGCCGTGTATGATTTTCTTCAGATTTGTTGATGATGCAGATTTCAGATCAGTTGATGATGCCGTGTATGATTTTCTTCAGATCAGCTGATGATGCCGTGTATGATTTCCTTCAGATTGTTGATAATGCCATGTATGATTTTCTTCAGATCAGTTGATGATGCCGTGTATGATTTTCTTCAGATCAGTTGATGATGCCGTGTATGATTTTCTTCAGATCCGTTGATGATGCCGTGTATAATTTTCTTCAGATCAGTTGATGATGCCGTGTATGATTTTCTTCAGATCAGTTGATGATGCCGTGTATGATGCCGATCACTTGATGATGCGTGTATATTTTTCTCAGATTTGTTGATGATGCCGTGTCATGATTTTTCAGTTGATGATGATGCCGTGTATGATTTCTTCAGATTTGTTGATGATGCCGTGTATAATTTTCTTCAGATCAGTTGATGATTTTTCCTTTCAGATCAGTTGATGATGCCGTGTATGATTTTCTTCAGATCAGTTTATGATGCCGTGTATGATTTTCTTCAGATCAGTTGATGATGCCGTGTATGATTTTTTGTTCAGATCAGTTGATGATGCCGTGTGTGATTTTCTTCAGATTTGTTGATGATGCCGTGTATAATTTTCTTCAGAACAGTTGATGATGCCGTGTATGATTTCCTTCAGATCCGTTGATGATGCCGTGTATATTTTTCTTCAGATTTGTTGATGATGCCGTGTATAATTCTCCCATATATGTATAATTAAGATACTGATAAAATAATAACAGAACTTTAATGCCTGAAACCGTGTGTCGTGACAATAAATTGCTGAAAATTTCCTTATTCTTTTTTTTATTTTCCCCAATATCATTACGAAAGTATCTTTCTTCCTATTTCTGAAAATTGTAATTATTTAAATTTCCTTATTCAACAGAATATTCCGGATTATTATTACTAGTTAATCGCATAGCTTCAAAAAGATAATCTTCTGTTTTCTAAAGGGTAATATTTATATTTTCCATTGATCTGTTAACATCGAAATACTGTCCTATCGACTGCATAATATATCTGTTTAAACTGTCCTTTCGACAGCGTAATACTGATGTTTTCTACTGATCTATTGATGCTTTTATTGATCAATCGGTAACGTAATATTGCTGTATTTTATTGATCTATCGATAACGTAATATTACTGTATTCTATTGATCTATCGATAACGTAATATTATTGTTTTCTATTGATCTATCGATAACGTAATATTATTGTTTTCTATTGATCTATCGATAACGTAATATTATTGTTTTCTATTGATCTATCGATAACGTAATATTGCTGTTTCTATTGATCTATCGATAACGTAATATTGCTGTTTCTATTGATCTAACGATAACGTAATATTATTGTTTTCTATTGATCTATCGATAACGTAATATTATTGTTTTCTATTGATCTATCGATAACGTAATATTGCTGTTTCTATTGATCTATCGATAACGTAATATTATTGTTTTCTATTGATCTATCGATAACGTAATATTATTGTTTTCTATTGATCTATCGATAACGTAATATTGCTGTATTATATTGATCTATCGATAACGTAATATTGCTGTATTCTATTGATCTTACGATAACGTAATATTACTGTTTTCTATTGATCTATCGATAACGTAATATTATTGTTTTCTATTGATCTATCGATAACGTAATATTATTGTTTTCTATTGATCTATCGATAACGTAATATTATTGTTTTCTATTGATCTATCGATAACGTAATATTATTGTTTTCTATTGATCTATCGATAACGTAATATTATTGTTTTCTATTGATCTATCGATAACGTAATATTATTGTTTTCTATTGATCTATCGATAACGTAATATAATTGTTTTCTATATAATTATCTTATAGACAACGGATTTTTTCACAATAATCAATATATTCATGTCAGTTTGGATTGATCGACACTTAATTTTAGAAGTACAGTAAACTTCCCTTATAGCGAACACGGATATAGCGAACTTCCGGTTATAAGGAACAATTTATTTTGGCCCGAATTTTGCCCTTCTTTATTTAATATAAAAATATACGGTTATTGCTAACACGGTTAAAAGGAATTATCGCTTATAAGTAACTCATTTCTTAGTCCCAATTTAGTTAAAAGTGCAGAAAATTACACTTTTATAACGAACTCCAAAATACAGGCTATCCGTAAATAGAACCCGCATGTTTCGTGAATGTACCGTTTATTGTTGAATAAACTTTAATACATCTATGAAAATGAATTAGTATAGAAGTATAGAAGTACGTTATAGTTTTTTATTTAGGATATTTTAGCATGAGTTCTTTTCACCAAAATAAAACGGTTATTCCTTTATTCTTTTATTTATTTTTCTTAAATATTTTTGCTCGAGTAGAATAATTATGATGATTTATTATCCGTTTTTTTTACATTATCAGCATGCTTGCAAGCATAATCAATTGAAAACTTTAAAGTAGGCTCGATTGAAATGAAAAGAAATCTATATATTTTATCAGTTAAAGCACGGATTTATATCATAAAAATCCGTGGTTAAAGTCACCCTTAAAATATAAAAGAAGATATTCAATATGAAAGGAATGAAAAATCGAAAATTTTGTTTATTCTTAATCATGGAAGGAAAACGAAAAGCCCAGGCCCCGTGTTTACAAATATTAAAGGATCAGGATCAAGATTACGATCTAATTTAAAAGCTCTATTTTTTTATTTTTTATCCTCATAGATTAAATATCTAATATTAATTTGATAAAACTGGACTTGTACTAGCAAATTTATGAAATTTTAGATTATATTTATTGTTATTTGTACATGATACGGCTATTTTACAGTTAAACCAAATATTGATCCTGATCCTAAAATTAGTCCTTATTTTGATCCGATATTTTTGTACATGTATTTGTTTTGTTATTTGTAAATAGTTTGGTTTCTTTGCAAATCAGCAATTTTTAACATTTTGAATATTTACCATTTAAGTCTAGCAAAACACGATAAATTCTAGAAACATAAAACAATGAAAATAAAATCAGGATCACTTGATCCTACATGATCATGATCTTTTCTTTGTGAATCAAATGCTCTTCACAAAGACGCACGATGGTTATATGTAAATTTGTTCGCTATACAAGGAACTAGCTATATGCAATAACCTCGGAAACAATAGGGGGCAGGGGACCTAAAAATAGAAAATTTTGTATTTCAGTGTGACCAGAAACACAATTCCAAATATTTCAAAATCTGTTTCACAGG